ATAAACCCTGGGACTAGTTGAGTCTAATGTCCCCAGACCTGGGCTGGGTGGCAGGAGAGGGGGGTGACAGTTGGGGTACAAACTGGGCGCAGAGCTGTTGTCCCCAGGCCTGTGCTGGCCTCCATGAGGCTGTCTCTGCGCGCGGTGCCTCCCCGCGGCGGCGGCGGCACCGGGAGCCCCCAGCCCTGCTCCCCGCTCCCACCATGTGTGTTCACTCTTGCAGCAACTGTACCAGACCCTCTCCGACTTCGACATCCGCTTCTACATGTACGAGATCCTCAAGGTGAGCGGCGCCGGGCACATCCTCACCATCCTCCTCCGGGGAGGCCGGCGCGGAAGGGGAGGCCGCGAGCGCGGGGCTCCTTCCTGGAGCGATACCCGGCCGTGGGCGCGGGCTGGGTGTTACCTGGGCACCTCCGCACGCGGGAGAGCCCGGAGCCTGTCCCGCGCAAGGAGTCTCCGTAACGGCGCCGTGCTGTCCCCAGGCGCTCGACTACTGCCACAGCATGGGCGTCATGCACCGCGACGTCAAGCCCCACAACGTCATGATCGACCACGAGCACAGGAAGGTAGGGGAGGCCCCGCGGCACCGGCCGCGCTGCCTTCGCCTTGTGCCTCGGGGGGTAAAGCGCTGGGCCCCGGCGCTGTCGGGCCTGCAGCTGGAAACCCAGGTGCCCATAAACGGCGCAGCTGCGCCCCGTAAACCCGTTTATTTGCCAGCTGCTTGCCAGCCAGCAGGGCTGGGAAAGGGAGCAGGAGCTTCCTGCCAGCGCCGCTGAACAACCGGCCACCTGGGCCCGCAATAAAGGGGCTTCAAAAGGAGCCTCCCAGGGGAGCGGGCGCTGAACCCCGTCAGTGCTGGGGGGAGGAAGGAGCCCTGGGTGCCCTTTGGGGTCTGTGTGGCATCGGGCCTGAGCGGCGCCGCTCCCGGCTGGACACGGAGCCCAGCAAACCTTTCCTTTCCCTAAATGAACGTGGAAATCCCGGGAGGCTCCCAAGGGCAGCGCAGGGGACTCCAGAGGAGGATGGAGCCCCGGGGAGGAGGCGGTTTCTGCAGGGCAACTGCAGAGCACAGTTAGAGAGCGCTCAGCGGTGCCGTCACCGCGAGGCTCCGCGGGGACCGTCCCCGCTCCGGTGTCACTCGCTGCTAACGAGCACAGCAGGGTCCCCTGCAGTCCCCGCCGAGCTGCGGGTCACCCCGCGTGGGCCACCCGAGTGGCA